TACATCTCCATCATGGCTTGTAACCTGTGATGGACTTTTCCTCCAGAAATCTGTCCAATCCCCTTTTAAAGACATGTAGGCCAGATGCCATCACCACATCCTGTGGCAAGGAGTTCTAACAACATGCTGGGTAACAACATGCTGGGTAAAGAAATATTTTCTTTTGTCCTTACTCTCCCAACATTCAATTTCAGTGCATGTCCCCTGGTCCTAATATTGTGTGAGAAGAAAAAGAGCTTCCCTCTATCCACTCTGTCCACCCCCTCCATCATTTCAAGCATCTCAGTCATGCCCCCCCTCAGGTGCCTTTTCTCTAGACTAAAGAGCCCCAAACACTGTAGCCTTTCCTTATAAGGGAGGTGCCCCAGCCTAGTAATCATTTTACTTGCTCTGTTCTGCACCTGACAAAGCAGAACTTCAGACAATTGGACCCTGGCTGCTCTGGAGAGCCACAGCCAGCTGTTTCTCTGCTCCAACCATGCCACCACATGAAAACAGCTGGTGTGGGACTGCAGAGCCCACCAATGCCCTACTGTGGAGAGGGTCATCCAGGATAACTACCATATTTCCCACCTGCAGCATTTCTAATAGTCAGCCAATGCTCAGTGAACCTTTCCTAAGTAGCGCTGAGGGCTTTCCAGGGAGGTCATGTTGTTCATGGCCCTAACATTCTACCTCACTTTGTGTAAGGGAATGACTGGCCCTGTGGCCTATTAGCTATTCTACACATTTGCTGCCATTTCCAGAAAATCCATCTGTCTCATTTGAACATGTAATCGGAATGCTGACAAGTATGATTTTAGGATAAAGTGGGAGATACACAGATGTAGACAATGGTTGGGTTTTGCTTCATTTTCTTATACTCTGGATAAAATCCTCTAAGATAAGGCCAGCCACACTTTATTTATAAACGTGTGCTGTGTCTGCAGGCTCAGGATATTTTGCTGCCAAAAACAAAGCAACAAATGACACTCCAGTCCCTCCCCAATGCAAATCAAGGTGCACAGTTCCCAAAGGAACCACTTTTTTTGGGGGGGGGCATGATATGGACTAGGCCATGATCACCTCTCCCACTCTCCGACAGTTAAAACAAGTTAGAATGGTGAATCCCTAATTTGCTAGCCTTTCAAAATACCAACTGTATGCTACTTGGCACAGCTTCTTCTGCCTAAGGGTAGGACTGGTCTTAGCTGTCTTTCTGCATGCTCGTTGGAATAGCTACTCCCACTCAGAATAACTACAGCAGCAGAATTTCTCAGGACAAGGAAAAAATCTAGCAAGAGGTGAGCAACAGAGTGGCTGCTAAATGCTGTTAGACCTCCACTCTAGCAGCAGCTAATGGGGGACATCATCTGAAGGGCAATTCCACGTATCCAGTTTTAAAGCAAAGAGTTCTATTGCTTTACAGTATCTCCTTTATAGTAATAGAAATACAGTAGGGGCGTACACCCAATCATACAGGAACACATTGTTCACTAATGTACTATTTACCAAAACTATTGAGCAGAAGTCGGGAAACATAAGGAAATTAATAACTAGATGAAGAATGCTGAATATATTAGTTAATGCCATTTGATTAAATTATTTAATGTTCCTGATGAAATCAATTTCCTAAGGAACAAAGTACATCTTATTTTCAGTAATAAGTGTAGGTTACTTTTTCCTTTGAACAAAAATTGGAATGTGTTTGTATTTCAGTGTTTTTAGAGCTAGAGTCTGACCTTTCTCTTGGTGCAGCCTGGCATTCCATTTTAAAGGAGGGTTCGGTAGGGAGCATGGGCAAAGCCAAGATCCTGTGGACCCAACATCTCCCTCTCTTTTGGAGAGGTGACTCCCTCTGTGAAGAGTGAGGTTCGCAGCTTGGGGGTCCATCTGGATCTGGTGCTCACCATGGAAACCCAGGTGGCGTCAATAGTCCGCTCTGCCTATTTCCATCTGTGGCGGATTGCTCAACTGAGTCCCTATCTTGATGGTGGGGGCCTCAACACTCTGGCTCTGCCTCTTGTAATCTCGAGGTTAGACCACTGTAATGTGCTCTATATGGGGCTACCTTTGAGTTTGATGCGGAAGCTTCAAATGGTGCAGAATGCGGCAGCCAGACTCCTTAGTGGGATGAGAAAACATCAGCATATTTCTCCCACTCTGGCTGCCTTGCATTGGCTGCCCGTTCATTTCCGCATTGATTTCAAAGTGTTAATGATGACATATAAAGCCCTAAATGGTTTAGGACCTCAATACCTAGTGGAACACCTTTTCCCACCTAGATCTACCCAAATCATTCGCTATAGCCAGGACACCACCTAGATCTACCCAAATCACTTGCTATAGCCAGGGCAGATAGCTGAGGGGGCCTAACGCTGAGCGAGGCCCGGAAAGAAAGAACAAGAAACCGGGCCTTCTCAGCAGCGGTCCCTCGACACTGGAAGAGTCTTCCTCCAGAGATCTGCCTGGCGCCCTCGCTGGGTGTTTTCAAGAGCCAACTTAAGACCTGGCTCTTCAGGCAGGCCTTTCCTCCCATCAATACTTGATTCTTATTTTCTATCTTAATTTTCTTTCTATATTTCTCCATCTTGAATGATACTAACATCATTGATTTAAATTGTTGTTTAATTGTTTTATGATATTTTTATTGTAAGCCACCCAGAGTAGACGTAGTCTACAGGATATAAATAAATAAATAAATAAATAAATCCATCCATCCATCCATCCATCCATCCATCCATCCATCCATCCATCCATCCATCCATCCATCCATCATCCATCCATCCATCCATCCATCCATCCTTTAATGCCATCTACATGCAGCTACCACAAGGTTGCTTCAAATAATTATGATTAATCTGCCTTTTTTATGCCTTCCCACTGAGCTATCATGAAAAGAAGGCTCCTCCACAAATCTGAGCCACAGCTGGTCTGTGAAATTTCACTGCCTGAAACAGAACCGTAAGGTAAAGTTTGCAATAATAAAATTAAACAATTTGCTCTCTTTTCATGACAGACCCCAAATCTGATAGCTGAAGGCAGCTGCCACACTCTGAGTACAGTAGTTACAGGACTGGCCCTGGGTGAAATGGAAAAGTTACTTGGGGACTACAATCCCCAGCTATTTATCATGTTGACTGGGAGATTTGGGGAGTTGTAGTCTTTAAAAAAACTGTTTCAAGCTTAGATACTAGGCATCTTTCAAAGCAGTCCAAAAGTAACATTTTTATCATTAAAGCTCTGCAGACTGGATTAGTGTTTCATAACATTAACAAGCTGTACGTCTGCACAAACCTATTTGCCACTCTTTTAATTTACTAGATGAAATCTTGTTGCTCAGCATAGTAAATTACACTAGCACATATGCACTGAATCAGTGGAGATTCAGTGACTCAACTCGTTTGTAAGTTCTATTGCTTCAAATGGGCTTACTCTTGTTGCAACTTAACTAGGCTCATTTGAATCAATGGAACTTACGGAGGAGTAAGAGGGTCACCAAATCCCTACTGAGGGCATGTCTACACTGTCTCTTTTGCAGGAGGCTGGTGCAAGCTAAATAGGGTTGCTTGGGGTGAGGCGGAGGAGCAATATGCCATGGTGCAATCCTTGTATCGAACTGGCATATCTGAGCTCAAGTGACCCTATTTGATTCAGCTCCCTCTGTTCAGAAGTCACTTAATAAGTGAGCCACTTCAGGATATCTGCAAATTGAACACTTCCCCTGCTCCAAGTGATTTTAAAAAATCTGGTAGACTATTGCTGTGGTGCTTCATCACTTTCAAAAAAAGAAAATAATAATATTTTGCTTTGTCTAAAAGGCCAGTCAAGAAACTGCCCACAACTGAATTCATGGATTCAGTAGTGAGTAGTTTCTTGACCGGTCCTTTAAGATAGGGATCTCCAAACTTTTCAGTATGAGGGCCACATCATATATTTTGCACATATTCAAGGGTCAAAGGAGGGAAGGAGAACCCAATCCCCCACCCCCATTTTCTTTGCAAAGATAGCAGAGGTAGGAGATCACTTAGATCAGGCTTCACTCCTCTTCCTCTCTCCTCTTGTGCATAGGAAGAGGAGGGAAAGGGGACCCAAGCAATCCACCACACCCACTGTAATTGCAAAGACAGCAGGTATGGGGGGGTCGCTTGGGTCTCCTTTCCCTTCTCTTCCTATGCTCAAGCCAGATAAAAAGGCAAGGTGGGCCAGAAGTGGCCCAAGGGCCATAGTTTGGAGACCTCTGATTTAAGAGAAACAAAAAAAATTAATTTTTAAGGGATGCAGCAATGGTCTATTAGAATCTTTTTTTTAAAAAAAAAAATTCAGTTCCCCTGTCCCTCTGCTGAGGAGCAGTGGAGGTGTTCAATGTGCTAATATCCTGAAATGGCTCACTTATTAAGCCACTTCATGCTATTAGAAATTCAAAATGTAAGGAGCCTTGATAGCCAACAAGGCTCACTTTTGGTACATTCCCAGAGATCACACATGCAGGAAATGAACCAAACTAGAGTGATCGTACCCTCACCAAAAAAGTAGAAGCCTGTAAAGAGTACTCAAAAAGGTGTGGTAGGACTGCTCTGGCGATGATTTGGTTCGTTCCAGCAATTATATCATGTGATCGCTGGGGGGGAAAAGGAAACCAAACTGTCCCCACATAGACCAAAAAGCAGGACAAATACCCTTCTGACTCTAGTACAACTTACTACACTGAGCTGTAGTAAGGATTTCAGTCATAGTGATGCACAGAAATAATTAATGGAATATAAGAATATAAGTGTTAAGTGGAATTTGCTTATTCAATAGCAGGACAATTTAGCACAAAATAGGCAATAAAACATTTACTTTAGTGAATATAAACATAAGAAATTAGTGAATATAAACATAAGAAATTAGTTTCAATGATTTCTTAGTTGGGTATGTGTGTTTGGGCTGCACTGTCTCAGTCATTGGTCCCAACTAAGATTAATATGAAGTTATGTTGTCTGAAACCAAACAAGAAGTGCTGAAATAATCACACCATGTTTCACCACTTAACAAATTTCAATTTTATATGACAATATAACTTTACAGTGCTCCTGAGATTAAAGTTCTATATTCTGCACACACATAGACAGATAAGGGAGGTATTTTACCATAAATCATGAATTTTCTATACCAAAATAACACTTAATTGCTTCATGAACAGATTTATATCCCTATTCTTATTATTTTTCAAACCAGCAAGCAGCATAGAAAATTAAAAGATTAGACAACCACTTTGAGGAATACATTTAGTGATACATTAAGCAAGAATATGCTTCAGGGAATGAAATCATAAGCCAGCATTTCCATTCTAGTTTTTTAAAAATCAGTCCCTCTGTATTGATTTGATAGCAACTCCTTGAATTTTAACTGGACTGTTATTCTAGGGTGCTTTCTATAGTTTCACAGTTGCCTAATCAATGTAGTTCTAAGCAATAATACATCCTCCTTTCTCTTTAAATGGATTCCTATCTTCCGGAATGCCTTTCACCAGAGGATCTTCTCCAGACCTTTCTTCAATGTAATTTTTTATTAAAACTGAACATTTGGAAACCTGCAGAGAAAGAGAGAGAGAGAGAGAGAGAGAGAAAGTCTTAATATATAGTGGCAGCAGTGGAAAATTGGATTTCACTGTGATAAATGGATAAGTTAGTATATGAACAGATAGATATAAAAATAATGGCTAGATGCATATTAGTTTTATTGGCTCAGTTTATGAAAACATCAGATGAAGGAAAAAAAGCATTGTCCTCATGCCTTGATGGTTATCAATGACTTTTCCCGCAAATAGCCTTTATATAAGAGCATGCTCAGTGGTCTGTATTGTCATATTCCCATTTGCTGCACAAAACCATCACATCTTTTTTGGGTACAAAAACTTTGGCTGTTTGTTATTATTATTATTATTAAATTGTTTTATCCCAACTTTTATGAAGAGGCACTTGCTCCTGCTCTTGCTGTGTGCCATCAAGTTAGAACCAACTAACAGGGATTTCAAGATAAGTAAGATATTTAAGAAGTGGTTTTAGCATTTTCACATCACCCTCCACCCCTCGTGAGTTTACATGGTCCAGCAGGGATTCAAACCCAGGTCTCCTGGGTCCTGGTCTATCACTCTATTTGTTACACCACTCTTGGAAACCCTAAGAGGTCAGAAATGACTAGGAAATAATAATAATAATAAAGTTTAAAAGATTACAAATCCATTAAGAAATGGTCACACAATAGCCAAAAATATGCGCAAGATAATATCACAACAGCAATCAACCACAGCTGAAAGACTTGTGAAACAGCCACATCTTCCCAATGCAAGAAAAAGTGAGCAGGGATGGGGCTAAGTAGACTTCCCTGGAGAGATGCCTTCACCTCAAAGACTCTATTTAATGTCTCCACCTACCAGCACAACAATGCTGGACAAATCTACTTATAAGTAAATTCCACTGAGTTCAATGGAGATTACTCAAAGATATGGAAATCCATGGAGCTTACTCCCAGTTTCTACTGTAGGTACGTATACAAGACAGCACTTACAAGATGAGGCAGTGTTTTAGGCAGAGGTAGACAACTTATTGATATTATTGCTCTCCAAATCCCACAATTCTTCAAAGATGTAAATAAAACATATAGGCTGCTTTGGACTGATGTGAGTTGCAGACCAACACATTTGGAAAGCCACAAACTGGCTACCCCTTTATTACGGCATTTAGGTACCAATCCATTTAGGGGCTTTAAAGGAAGATGCGAGCACCTTGGAAGCAGACCAGAAAATAAAGAGATAAAGAAAGAAGATGGTACAGTACAAAGGTAACTGGTTTCACACAGGCAACTCTAATTAAAATTCTGAAGCAAATGGCATTGTCAGATACTTCCCAAGGCCAGGATACAGTTGTTATTAAAGGAATGGGATGGGTCTGCCTTTATTTTATGAGCCCAGAGTAAGGTATTTAGTACCTAAGAAGAAGTTTCTTTAGCCAGAGGCTGAAATGGTAACCATCTGCATAACAAGCATGCATCTCACACCACCTATAGTGTGTGCCTGAAATAGTCTTACTAGATGTTGTTACTGAAATTACTGAAAAGCCATGATGTATCTAGCCATTTCCATTGCTACTGGGCGAAGTTCACAATATTGTTAATTTCTCCTAACTATTCAGACCAAAGGTTCCCAAACTGGCCTGCAGAAATCTCCTACTCTCCTCTACCCCTCTCTGAAGCTGTGCTCCTTCAGAAGGTAGAAGTGGGGAGACTACCATAGCAAAGGACCTGGATCCATTCTGACAACCCCTTCCTAATGTGGGAAGGACAAGCAAGGCACACTCGGCCATGACAGATGACAGATGAATGTGTCTCGAGGATGGAACTCAACCAGTTCCCACAGCACTTGCTGTGTGGGCCAAGCTTCATTCATTCATCACCTTCCTGGTATGAAAGGGAAAAGGCAGAAGGAGAATGTATTCATCCAGTACTTCAAGAGCTAACTGAGTGGCGATGAAGGGAGAATGAAAGGAGAGCTCTAACTAGTGTTTTAGCCAAAGTACGGGAAATTAATTGGCTTGGACTACAATTCCCAGAGTCCCCCTGTTGGGGATTCCGGGAGTTGTCATGCGAAAACATTTCTCTCTAGGTGGATTGTCAGTCAACTTGGGTGGGGGGTGGGGGATACTGCCCAAATCCCTAACCTCTTTCCCCACTCTTGCTTTGGAGAATATGCATTTACGTAAAATCAAGGGTGAGTAACACCTTCCAGGGATCACTGAAATCTCATAAACAAAGTCTGTAGGACTGTTCATCAAGCTGGACATTGCAAAGCAAAAGGCACATGCAGAACAAAGCCCAGCCTAATGAACAGTCCTGCAAGACTCAAAATCTTACTTTTGAATGAACTTTTAGATATAATTCGCCACTGATCTTGGATTTTGCACATAAACCGGCTGGACAATTGTGTTGCTTTCACTCATCTCCTGTGCAAATTCTGCAAGGAAATGAACATCTGTGTAGATTTCTGAACAGAATTCAATAGTCAAGAGTATCAATCACATGGTTTAGCTCATGACAATATTTTTAGCACACCATTCATAATTCTGAATGATTTCCAATATGTTTTTCGCCACTGTAGTCATCAGACCCATTTACAGTACTTCTTGCACGCTACACTACACCTCGGCTCCTGGCTGTCTTGAGCTTAGGCAACAAAAGAAGTCCCAGATTTACCCCTCAATTCACTTACCCCACAATTAGCCTGTTCACACTCCTCCCCTCCCCTTCTAATTACAGTTTGCATTTTCATTCTGACTGTGTCATCAGTTCTGTGGCTGATGTCAGTAGTTGCTCCCTGCTGTCAGTAATTCCCCATTTGTGGTTTGGTGGGGAGTGGGGGACAAAAGCAATCCAAGGTATGTTAGAACCTGAGAATGAAAATCCAGATCAGTCCTGCACCCTGCTGGTATCTTCAAAAGCATAATAAGAAATTAAATTTGTAATAAGGCTGTAAGTGGGTGAAGAGACACAACTGAATGAGTGGACAGTGATTTTGCCATGTGCAGAGAGCCTGATCTTCTTCTGTTAAAGACTCAGAATGAAAATAGGTGCTACAGTGAGTATGTTTATTAAGAAAGAAAGAAAGAAAGAAAGAAAGAAAGAAACCCCCGTTAGTGTTTTAGTCACACAATTTCCCCTGGGCAGCACATTGTGTCTGAGCAATTAGAACAGTGTTTAATTCCTGATAAGGTAAAGGTAAGGGTTCCCCTTGACAATTTTTGTCCAGTCGTGTTCGAC